TAGAAGAGCCAGGTCATCTGTGAAGTCCAGATCGTCCAGCTGCGTCCCAACTGTCCAGTTGATACCGCGCTTCCTTTCAAATGTCGACGTCTTCATAATCCAGTCGATTACCTGTCCATAATGAATGATAAATTTTGTATTTCTCTTTTACAAATTTTTAATTGAATATTGTATTGTTTCTGTTGCACACAATCTTTACATACAGTGGCTGAACTAGCAGCTGGTAAGTAATAGATTTTTTTTGGCACACTGCAAGTTTCGTATGATTGATTAACCCTAACTGGGAGAACACAACTACTACTGCTATGATACTGTCTCTTATTGAAAATGTCAATTTCAATTAGACATTGTGAAAACGCAAGAACACACACATCGGTTTCTCTATGCAATTAGTAAGTAGAAAGTGAACTGGCCGTCGAAGCCTTTTTGTGTGTGTTGTAAACAACTGTAAACAGTAAAATTCCTGTCGAGACATTGCAAACATAAGTTCGCAGTAGTCACTTTCACGATGTGCAAACTAGGCAAGTCGGCCTTCTGTTTATTTCGAAACACACAGTGAATGAAACTTTTCACAGCATTTGTTTTATTCAATGAGTTGGATTTTGAATCAGGCATTATGTGCTCTCTTTCAACTGTTCCTATTTTTTCAGAACTGTTACCGGAAGATTGTAAGTGACAAATAGCCTAATTATGATTTGAATTTATTTCATGGTGAAACATATTTTGTATTTAAATTTCATTCAAAACTGTGAATGCAAACTTTTTTTTTTGCATTACTAGTGAGATCAGGTCTCCTATTTCTTGACTGCGCTGAAGGTAAGTCTACTTGCATGATAAATGAATTCATTAGTTTTTTTCACAAGCTGTACAGAAGCAGACTTAAGTGAAGAGCTGTTCCATGTGAAGCCATGCATAATAACAGTGATTCATGGCATAATAAAATGCATTGGGTTTTTCAATAATACTTCTCTTATTCACTCTTCAATGCGTTTGTTTAATCTGAGTATTCAAAATGAGATGTGAAACAACACGAACTCTTCATTTACTAAATATAGAATGTCAGGATGTCTGTTTAGCGTTAGAAGTAGTGAAAACACATATATGACACTTTTTAGTGATGTAGATGTTGTTATATAGGAAACCAATTAAGTTTTATGCTAGAGCAATATATTTCACTTCAGCGAGACGAATGTTTACTGTATAAGAATTTCAGATGACTGACAGTGTCTAATGAGGAATCAAAATATCACCTTACTAGTCAATTTTTTACATAGTGAATAACAGAGGTGAGAAGAATATTGTTTAACATGGTATTGTTTTATTTTCAATTGCAAATTGGTAGAATATGAAGAGGAAAAAACAATAACTGGTAAGTTTTCATAGTAGAAAAATATTCTGCTTCTTTTGAATAATTTTCTGATTACTGAGACTGTAAACTACTCACTATTAGCGATTGTGAGTTACTGCGAGCCCCATTTTTTTCATGGCAATAACTGATTGACGAGTGTATCATATTATTCCTAGTATTGATGTAGCTTTCGAATTCAGCCTTGCTCGTAAGGTATTCCATCGGAATTACAACATCACGTGACTGTATCACTTGAACAGCCGGTATTGTTGAACGTCGTAGTGACGTTGTGGTGCTGTGGTGCGAACTACTTATAAGTAGTATATGACGTGAGTGTCAACGTAAAGTCTGATAGCATAATATGGGGGGAAGATCAAGAAAGGAAGAGTTAGAAAACAATGGAATTTGTATGAAACGCATGAATAGTGACAATGGATTGATGTTTTGCAACAGGAACAGTCCAGTTCCATAGGATGAACTGATCTTTTGCAAATGAACGATTTACGATATGGTTTTCCGATTTTACTGAGTAACTCTGTAATTTTCGTTAAATACAATTCGGTTGCCCCCACCTGTGTTCTCATTCACTACAACGTGAGAATTTTAAGTATTCTGAATCTATTAACAGATAGGCGAATTGTACTGCTTTCAACAATGGTTGTTTTTCACAAATGACTAATCTACATAATTTTTCAACGAAGATAAGTCATCGTAAAAATACTGACTTCAGAATCCTGTTTGTCAATATTTACACAATTGTGACGACCTTCGAAGAACACACATTCAGTCAGATGATATTTAGATTTATGTGGAGAAATAATACGTCACCTTGTGAAACCAGTTACTCATCTGACTAATATTAAGTAGTTTAGAGTGCGAATTCTCAGCAATAACTTAACGAATGACAGATTATGCAATTTTATTTATTAAGCATATTGTTATCCTGCTTTTTTTGATTTTAGAAAATTATCAGCATGTGAAGGTTGTGATAGCTTGAGGCGTAAGTCAATTTTTTTTTGTACACTAAACAGTGCTAATTTTGAATAGTTTTAATGATCACAAAATCGTATGTGCATCTACACGCCATAAGAATCTGTGAGTGCTAATATGCTACCTCGTTCAGTGCTCTAATCAAGAATTTGTGGAGTACTGCTAGTAAACTATAGTGAATCAACATATTTCCTTGCTTATTGTTGATCGTAATCAACTGATATAAATTGCTTGAAAAGTAAAAAACTCCAACATTACTTTTGTAAACCTATTTATTCTATGTACTCCTAAGTTAAATTCACATCACGACATATTTCGACTTTCTAATCGTGATAGTCGGTAATGAGTATTGTCAAGACAATCGATGAATACAGTCTGCCGCTATACGGTGGACAGATGCATAGTTCCCAGATGCCAGACATCATGTATTTATGGCTTCAAGAAGACTGTATGTTGTCAACCTTTACATAGTGAATTGGAAATTATGCTGGATTATTTACACGCCTGCGTATAAATATCTTATTGTGTTAGTAACTATTATATAGTCAAGAAGTTAGTATGATAGATTTTAGTAAGCAGATCATTCGTTAAAAACTACAGAATTCATTGGCTATAAATGAATCACATGATGAGTAGTACGCGATTACTGCTGCTCTGTGTTTACTCCACACATGGCAAATGAGAATCTCAATTATACAGCGTGACCATTGTGTATGGTCATAATAATGGCTGCATTTCGCAGTGACGTTGGAGCAGCTTGAGGATACTGGAATAGACCACCATGGAAAGTTGAAAACCAAACACAGATACACGCTTGTCTATATCTCAGACGAGAACATGGTTTCGAAAGACGAATGCCGCTTAGAAGCACAGGAAGAAAATAACCGACAGCTCCTTTGATATATACAAGGGAGTTAAGGGAAATTAGATCTCGATTTCGCGTAAACTAGACAAATGTGTTTAGAAAAGGTTGAGATTTTTCGTGAAATGCTGTAGTGTTTTTGTATCAAAGTGAATGTAAGACAACACGCAATGAGAGATAACACAATGTCATGTTTTCAATGTGTTATGATATGACTAATGTGCTATCCATCTGAATTTATCACTGAGTCACAGATGTGTATATGCTGGATCTTCAAATTGAAACAGTCAGCATTGCTGATCGTATAGACAGTTTACCCACATGTTAAGTCCGGTGGTAGTAATCAGTGTTCTCTGGGTGGCTTTGTGACTGCATATATACGAACAACTACATAGTGAATTGCAAATTATGAGACAGTGTTTTTTACATAATTTTTTCTACATAACTCCTGCATTGCCTATTTTTATGATCATAGACAATTTCATTTGTCATTTCTCTGTATTTCTCCCTTTTTTATTATACCGTAGTTTCATTTCGTGGGAATTTGAATGTTTATTGCTTTCTATTTGGATGATGATATATTTTGTTTAAATATTGCACGATTTCTAGTAATTACTTGTTTTCTTCATTTGATTTATAAGAATTATGTAACTGTTTATCGTTAAACTTTTTAAATCATACAAATTGATATTTTGTCATATTTATCTTGTCTTATTGACTCGTTTCAAATAAACTTCTGAGAATTATTTTTGATGCGTTTTTATATGTTCATGAAATATATTTTTTCAAGTAAAATGTAATTATGGTTCGCAAATCAATATTTTGCCTGTCCACTCACTTGAGAGATCATGTTTCAGTCGAATTGCTTGATAAATATTTTGAAGAAAATTTTAAGGTTTGAATAAAGTCAACAATTTAATAACATCTATTGTGGTGTGTGCTACTTATACGAACGATATAAGTAGTATAAGAAGGGACGTGAAAGAAGAAGTCTCACGGTCAGAAGAGGAAAACGGAAAGTAAATGGAGCAAAAGCAAGAAGTAAATGGAGTACCGACAGTAAGTAAAGGAGGCAACAGCAGGAATGGAAGAAGGCTGGAGCGTTGGAAGTCACGACTCAAAGATGGTGTGCAAATAGTGTTCAATGTAATGTTTTCGTTTTTAATTGACTACGAGTGTAAATTTGCTGAATACGGCCTATCGCGCCTGCCACAGCCTTCTCACTATTACTATTTATTACAGTGATGTTTAGTTTTAAAAAGACATAGCGAAATGTTATCAAGAGGAAATAATCAACAATAACACACTGAGACTGACAGGTACTTACTTAACCAGAGAAATAATGTAGAGAAAGTGAATGTGAGTATGTAAGCGAATGCTAAAATCTGTGAGCTAATTAAGTTGAACTAGCATAGACAAAAATGTTTGCGAATGAGTTTAATGGTAGTTTAAACAACCAACCAACATTTAGTTAAATAAGACGAGTATATTTGTGTGCAGTAACATTTGGTAATTCATTCATGTTTACATGCGAATATGGGCTGAGCGTCTTTCAGAATAAGAAAAAAATTTTCTGTTTGAAGAGAGTGCTAAGTTTCTAAAACTCTCTCGTACTCAGTTTGCTAACGCAGTGACAGGTTGAGGGTCAATAATAACCAATCTAGATCAAGTTTAAGTGAATGAGCAACGGGTCAAAAGTAAATATTCACTCGTATCAGGAGCTTGTGACGAAGATGTTGAGAAGAACAATGAAAAATCTGCAACGAACTGTCTCATCATATAATTAAATCTAAGCAAATA